TCCATACTGCTCGTCCAATGTATTCCAAGTATGCATTTGAGATATCAAAAAAGTACTCCAGAGTGTTGTTCAGCATGGGGGTGAGTAGAAAATGAAGGCTAATCATGTTTTGGGTGTACTATTCCTTTAAGCTGCATTCTCATGTAAAGGTCTTCAAAGTTCCTTTTGGGTCACAGAAAGCAGAATATATCGATTTGAATCCCAATTTTTGTCATCTGCCTTCACTGCCCCAGCTCCACCAAGCCCCTTTGACCCACAAAGAATGATGGGATAGAATTGGCCACTGAGGATACACCAGACGCACTCATCAAATCAGGAAAAGAGCCGTGTCTAATGATGTTGAATCTGGACCGCCTGCATCACACCGTGGTGACGTAATCGTCCACCAAAGGACACTGCCCCTAATTGGACACACCGACTAGTTTATGTGAAGAGACAAACGTTGACCTTTTGGGATAGCATACTGTGATGTAACTCTAAACAATCGTCCAGTGTTTCTGTTTTAAAGCAGCTCCGTAAAAACTTGTAAACTAAATTTCTTCTATAGGTGTATAAAAGTACCTTTTAAGAATGATTAAAGGAGGTTATTTACATACTCCTGGTTGGTTTGGACAGCTGTGTTGATCCTTGTTATTTTTGTTTGATAATGAAAGCCTTCAAATATTTATACATTCTTACTCTAAAATTACCTCCAAGGTGTTTTGTTGTGTGGTGTCCGCTGGAAGTTTTTTTTTGTTGATGTTTCCATCTAAGCTTTCAATAATGGATACTGTATTATGTTTCAGGTTACCTGGAGATGCACGTACTAGAGTTGGTTTCCTCACCTTTGACACCACCATCCACTTTTACAACCTCCAGGAGGGACTGTCCCAGCCACAGATGCTGGTGGTGTCAGACATTGACGGTACGTCTCTTCATTGCCATAAAGAAAGACTAGGTTTAAAAGATTGGCCGTTTGCTTTTCAACTCTTATTACTGATTGCTATTCTTTCTAAAAGCAGATGATAATTTTTTGTGTACATGAAATATTGGGGAATTTATTTGAAATATAGCTTTTTTTGCATTTATTATGTACATACTGGAGCGAATGTTAAGTCAAAAATCATTTATCTTAAGGTTGTTTGTTAATCATACTGCAAAATTAATTTAAAAATACAGATGTTTATTATCAAATACATCAAATGCACAATTTAATATGTAAAAATGTTATTGGATAATTAAGTACATATTTAGTAATTTAATTGAAATTTAGAAAGCTAATAGAGGATGAAAATTGTAATCATAAATTACACTTAATGAGATTTTTTTATTTTTCAGTTTGATTTTAAATCCATGTTGAAATACTGAAAATATGTTAAAATATTTTTAAATCCTAAAGTGGCTAACACTGCTTCAAACAAGGTGATTGGTCTGAGGTTGGGTTGTTGTGAAGGGCTCAAATATCAAATATTAGTGTTTTAAATATTATGACTGTAGCCCAAAAAACATGGAAGAGCTAAATATTGAGACAGCTTTTAATTTTATTTTCAACCCAAAAAAAAACACAAAACAGTATACTTGTAAATTATTTGGTTTTAAATTATTACAATTTTGATTCTCCCGGAAAAGAGCAGTGAACGATTTATAAACTGAATCTTTTTTGTGAGGAGTTATATAAAAAGCTCTTTTTAAAACGTCACTGTCTTTTTCAGATGTTTTTATACCGTCACATGACAGCCTGATGGTGAACCTAAAGGAGAGCAATGAGGTAGTTCTCTTCCTTCTTCATCCATGTTATAAACACACCTTTGTCTCTTCTCCTGACCACAGCCAACTGTTTCCATCCTCAGTCTCTTTTATTGCATGAAGAGTTGATAGAACATAGTGAACCTCAAAAATAGAAGCACCAGATGACAATCCCCCCATGTGTGAGGATCTAAGAATTGGTTTTCCTTCCTCAGCTTGTGAAGGAGCTTTTGACGTCGCTGCCGGCCATGTTCAACCAGAGCAGAGAGACTCACAGTGCCCTCGGCCCTGCCTTACAGGCAGCCTTCAAGCTGATGTCGCCCACAGGGGGTCGCGTCACGGTATTCCAGACTCAGCTTCCAACTCTGGGAGCAGGAAAGTTGCAGTCCAGAGAAGACCCGAACCAGCGTTCCAGCACCAAGGTTCACAGTACTGATTTGTTGATTTATTTGTAGTAGAGTTTGGATCCAGTCCGTTTTGCTTCAAGTCATTTTTTTATAGAATCGTCCAATTAATTAACAGCTCTGTCCTCACTTATTTTAGCAAATGATTGTTTGTTTTAAATGGAACCTCATGACCTCCTACTTTCTGACCCAATAACTCTTCAGGGAGTGCAGCACCTCAGTCCTGCCACTGATTTTTATAAAAAACTTGCACTGGACTGTTCAGGACAGCAGATTGGAGTGGATCTTTTCCTGCTCAGCTCCCAGTACGCTGACCTTTCATCATTAGGTAAGAATATCATTTCTGCCCATCCTTCCATCTCTCATCATCTTACAGCCTCAGATCATGTTTTAGTTTTTTACCTTCTAGGGAAACACTAGTCACCATGATTCATTTCTGCTCTTAATTAGACTTGATTTATCATTTAAATTACACATATGGGACAATATTATGATGATAAATGGCTCCAAAAAATGTCTAAATCATTAGAATATTGATATATTTTTTTCTTTTCTAAAAGAACACACATCTCAAAATTGAGGCCTGTGGACCGAATTTGACTCTTTACAGCAATCTAGCCCTCATTAAAAGATAGGCCTTTGCTGCCAAGCACATTATGTCATAGAAGCAAAGCAGAGAGGCTAAATGTTCTTTTAATTTGAACAAAGGGGCTACAAGCTGGCAATAAATTTATAATAGAGGAGCGTTCACAGTATACTCTTTGTTAATGAAATGATGACTCGAGCCAATATAGAAATGAGTTTGATGCACTTGAAATAAAGCACTAACGATTGGAAATATTATAATTCAGTGGAGAAACTGCAAGCAGTTTAGTGATTAAAAAAAAAAAACACTTCTTCATGCAACAGGTGTCCTTAAACATATTTTAAATAGGTATTTATGTTGAGAGCTGAATTGTGATTGCTTTGCTTTGATTGCAATCACATTTATTGTGACCAAAATAGTTCCATAAAATACCTCGGCAAGACTTTAAGCCCATATCACCCGTCTGTACTCCAGTCAGTAGCACTTAGCAGAACATGTTTAAAAAGGCAGCTTTATGAAACTTCTGGGTTCCATTTCATCTGTAGAACCAAGTTTGCTGATTTTTAACTTTGGAATCTAAAGATTTGTTCCTCCAGATTTGTTGAAGCTAACCAGCTAGTTTTCTTTTTGTTCTTGATGGATTTTCCTAGCATGACACCTCAATTGAGAATGTCTGGTGACCTAATGCCATGTTGGAAACTAATCCAAGAAATGATTGTAAAAAAAAGCAGGAAAGGCTCCAGCTTCCAGACGTGCTGATTTTTATGCTACGTTCACACCTAAAGCAGCACAGGCAGCAAAAAGGCACGTGCTGCTTCATTTTTTATGCTTGTACTAGTTTTGTTCTGACGGACGCTGAAGCAGCAAAGCTGCTCTTGCTGCGCAGTCGAAAAGTGGGTCTGATGCACGTTGGGTGGAGCTACTCTATCCTTTCTTTGCCTGTAACAATGGCGGCTATATTTGCTGTGATGAGTGGGTAAAAAGTAGTTTGAATCTATTTTAAAGTGAGAAAATCCACCTGAAAACATGGTTAGTGCAGTCAGTTCATCCAGATTACCATCCTGACTTCAAATTTTATTTCTCTGTCGGAGCCACTCAGACCCCAGATACTAGATTGTGCGCTGTCAGTAGGAATCCCATTCAACAGCAGCCTCTGGCCTGGTCGCGTCTTCGCGGTTTGCCACAGCGGCTGGAAAGTGGTTTTTTAAGTACGTAATCCAAACTGCAGGCACCAGGATAATAAAAGCGTGTTTTACCGGCAGATTTTGGTATTTTAAGTTAATTTGGGAACGTTAAACAGTTTTAAAGTAGTGATCATAGCGCTCTGCATAATCAGCGGTGTGTCTGTCTCCCTGCCAGCTCCCAGATCAACTTCTCTGATTGGTTGTTGTGGCGCATTCGGCAGCAAAAGTTAAATTTTTCCAAAACCAGCAGCTGCTGCTTTCGCAGCGCGTCCTGTGCTTCAGATGCTCTGAAGCTTGTGAGGCGCTGCTTCAGCTGCTCAAAACACGCTGCGGGATCCTTTGCTATTCCCTGATGTGCGTCAATCATTGACTTTGCATATAAGCTAGCTGCTTCTGCTGCTTTAGGTGTGAACGTAGCATTAGGCTCTGAATTGTTTTGGGTTGGATGTTTAAATCATTTTGGTGTCGTATTTTTTTTCAGCTTGTATCTCCAAGTATTCAGCCGGCAGCGTTTTTTACTACCCTTCCTTTCACCACATCCACAACCCGGCGCAGCTGGAGAAGTTTCAGAAGGACCTTGATCGTTACCTAACTAGAAAGATCGGCTTTGAGGCAGTTATGAGAATACGATGCACTAAAGGTACGTCTGTTCAGTTTTTATTTTTTCATATCTATGCAAAAACCTTTTTTTTTTTTTTATCCGCATTTTTAAGCCTAAATAATGTGCTTTCAGGTCTATCCATCCACACATTCCACGGTAACTTCTTTGTGCGCTCCACCGACCTGCTGTCCCTGGCTAATGTGAACCCAGACTCTGCCTTTGCCGTCCAGATGTCGATCGAAGACTCTCTTGCGGACTCGTCTCTTGCCTGTTTCCAGGCTGCTCTGCTCTACACGTCCAGTAAAGGTGAAACCAAAACCCACCTCACTTGTAGAAACACGGGGTTCCATTTCCAACTCAAGTAAAAATGGCTCAGTTTTTATCTGTTCAACTGTTTATTTTTGGTCTGATGTAGGAAAGAGGCGTATCAGAGTCCACACTCTGTGTCTGCCCGTCGTCAGTCAGCTGAGCGATGTTTACGCCGGAGCTGATGTTCAAGCTATCACATGTCTGCTGGCCAACATGGGTGAGTTTGAAGCATAAACTCTCCACTTTCACTCCCTCGCTGTTTCACTGGAGGTAATGTTGCACATTTTTTCCACCCCATAATAGGTTAGATATGACATTTAGTTCTAAAGATTCAGGAGATATTTCAATTACAGCTGTTGCTCTTGTTTTTATTCCCACTAATAAAACCCTGCTCTCCTCTTATTGATCGTCTCTTTGTGTTCCAGCTATCGACCGGTCGATCTCATCCAGCCTGTCAGATGCTCGTGACGCTCTTGTGAACGCTGTCATGGACTTTGTGAGCGCCTACAAAAGCAGCGTATCGAACCTGCAGCAGTCTGGAGTTGTTGTTCCTGCGGCTATGCGTCTTTTTCCGCTCTACATTCTGGCCCTACTCAAACAGGTTGGACCGAAAATACACCTCGCATTCTCAAAGCGCAGGGTTCCTGCTCATTGTGGCGTCAAAGTCTGATAATACGTGGGAAAAAAAGATGTAATCCAAACAACTGAAATGTTTCCTTTTGTTTAGATGTTATGCTTTTAATTTTCTAAAAACAAGCTGCTCTAATCACACCTTTTAATTTCTCCATTGATCTATTGATTTTATCTATCCTAGTAGAGATCCCATCAATGGATCCATTTTCATCGGTAAAAAAAAAAAAAAACTGACCTTTTTCAGGACAAGCTTAGTTTAAACTAACTCATTTGATCAAAATGTTATATTTTTTTGGCACTGGATTCCCAGTCAGCAGCTTCCCAGCATTTAACTTACTCCTCTCATCATGTGCACATCACCGCAGTTTGATGCACTTTAGGCTGGCCTCCTTTCCTTTGTAGAATTGATTTATTCTTTGAAACACATCTTAGCAGCCTTGTCTTTTCTATTTATTCTTAACTTGTGTTTCTTTCATTGGAGGTGTAAAGACTGGGGTGATTAGGGCCTTTTCTGCAAGAGCTCTGTACTGCAAAGGCAGGGCGCCACAATTTTTACAATCAGTGCCGAAAGTATGGGAATTTAATTAAATTATATTAAATACATTAGGTTTTTCATCCACCCATGTTAGGATTTCGGTTATCCTTTGGGGGGTTAAACCAAATCTGATGGTATTAAATAAGAATTATGTATTACAGGTCATAGCTAAAACTGTTTTTTATCAAAAGAAATCATCTTGCTGCTATCCTATTTAAGTCGATGGCCTTTAAGTTTTTGTTTTTTTGTGAGTTTGTGTGCATACTAGTTTATGTTACCTATTTAGAGCCATCTTTGGTTTCCTTTCTAACCTTCTGAGGACCAACAGACCTTGTGTGGACCAAACGTTGGACTTAATGTGACAGAACCCCATTTTTTATGTTGGGGAGTCTGTTTAGAGGTATGGTGTGAATCAAGTTTAGGCTAAAGTCAGGGTTAGTCATATACTGATAATGGTTAGGATTGGGCTGAATGTTGGGGTTATGCATAAATGCAGTAACTAAGATGGATGTAAGTCCATGTAGTCTTAATATGGAATCGAAATATGAACCCCAGCAGTCAGGGGTCATTTAAGTCATAAAGCTTAAAATTAGAATATAGATGAAAAACTGGAATCGCCTGAAGCTTTAACTCAAAACAATTTGGTTTAACTCATCAACTCTTTATTGTCCACTTACCATTGTTATGTAATGTAACAGTGGTGATAACCTGCAGTGGGCCTTGAAGCCAACTTCCCTTGGATGTTATTTTTATTCATATATTTTTCAAAAGGCTTATTTATGCTTAAAATGCTTTTTTTATAATGGATTATTTTTTGTCTACTTGAATGTACATACCGTATTTTCACGACTATAAGGCGCACTTAAACGTCTTTTTTTTTCCTCAAAATGTGCGG